TGACCTTCTCACCATCCAGCATCGTTTCCAGCACAAACCTAGTAATGGGATTGACAACATACTTAGCTAGCTCTTTTTCTTGGTGTATTTGATGATATCAGTGATGGTGTGTGTGAGAAAGAGAAATCAACACAACGGCTTCTTTTATAGCCACATTTGGATGACGAAGGAGGAAGTGTTTATTAAGCACAAAGATAAGATATGATATCCGAATAGCAAATCAAAAGGATTTCTAAACTAGCACAAAGATAAGATTTCTTAATAATATCCTTCTGGATTTGCTTATTCAGTTAAGCTCCTTAAGTTGTAGGGTAAAAGCGGACGAGCGCATGCTCAGTTGGCAAGGCAAGCCATTGAGCTGTATGACCGCCAGGGTGGGTGCCTCACCCTCCTTTAGTGAATAGCAAGAGTTCCTGACATGACCCTTAAAAATGTTGTCGGGTTAAATTTTGTACTTCCTTGTACTAACGTATTGAGATGTACCAAATTTTAGACCATAAAAGTATAACCTCTCAAGTGTCATGTCTTTGTAGTTAATCCTTAATGTTTCCCCATCCTAACTCTATTGGTAGCAGAATAAGGACGGATCCAAGGATGTTTCATGGTATCACACGACACCTATGAAATTTTGCAAACTCTATTATAAATTGTTGTATTCTATTGCTTATGTGCCACATGTTGATGAATCAAACCGTATCCCTTCACTTGGAAGATCCACCAATCACATTTAATAGAACATATGTAAATCATATCAAAGAATTCCTCAATTCCTTTTTACATGCTTCTTTACAATAATGGCCAAAACTATTAATTCAAGAAGCTGAGCAAGGCAAATGAAACATAATATGCCAATGTATTTTCTCTCATAATTGGTGAGAGAAAACCATTGAACTCACCTCTCATATTGTTTGCACCATTCTCACTTGCCCCAGACTTAACTTATGCTCCGCAAATAAAATGTCAATAGTAGACTTGAGGTGCATAGATAGTTTCTTTTGAAGGGAAGAGGAACATAAATTGTCTTTCACATGAAAAAAACCAACTAATATATTTTTAACATTTCCACATTTGACAAGGCCAACATTTGAGATTTGGGGAGGATTGTTGGATGGAAAATTATTCTTTTGACAAGCTTTATCTCTCATTATATTATATAACTAGTATTAAAAATGCTAAAGTGGTGGATGTTTTAAGATGGGTGCCTTTAGTTGTCTCCTTTAGGAGGGATTTGGTATTAGATAATAGATTGGTACAACCTAATGTCAGAAGTGACATGTATTACACTATCATAACAAGATCATGCTTTTATTTGGAAAGAACACAAAAATGGAGTCTTTTCTATCAACGCGAAGTATAGAGCTCTCATATGTAAGGGGATGTACTACAAAGGAAATCTTTTATTTGAAAACTTAGAATTCCTTTCCTATGGTATCTAAAATGGGGTCATTTTGACCAATGATTATTAGGTGAAATGGAGATGGGAGGGTAGTACTACGTATTGTTCTTATAGTTCTAATGAAACAATACAACTTCTCTTATTTGATTGCCAAATTGCAATATTTATGTGGAATGTCATGTTTATAACCTTTGGGATTAAACCATGTACTAGTGTTGCTAATCATTTTGGTAGTTGGCATCTTTATGTTAGCAGTATGTTTTTAGGAATAATGCAGCCTCTAATGGCTCCAAAACTAACTCCTTTTTCAAATAATCATCAAAGGAGTGTACTGTATAACAGTGGTCTTTGTTGCTTAAAGAGGACGGTAGAAATAAGGTGAACGAAGGCTGCATCTTGTTGGAAGCTACAACGTTGGAAGTTCTCTCAAAGGTTGGCTGGAATATGAAGAAAAGATTGGAAGCTATCTCACTTTGGCTAGTTGTCCCTTTATGTTGCTTGTCGATTAAGTGGTTGTATTGTTTTTCTTGTTAGCAGGTTGAGTCTAAGTTCTATTTTAATCTTCTTGGTTTGAGAAGTCCTTTTGCAAGGCATGTAATCTTGTATTATGTTGGTTGTGTATCTAGTTTGGATGTAGAGACCAGATTTAGATCCATTTTCTAAAAATTTAACAATATATCACAAGACAACAGCCATTAGCTCCTTGTAAGACACATCTCCTGAGCCATCAATTAGCAGATATAAAACATCATTCTCAACTTCCTCGAGAATAGAAGGAAGTCTCCTAATATAACAACTTGGGAAATGAGCATCCTAATATAATAACTTGGTAATTGGGTGCAATTTAGTGTAGGAAATTTATAAGTGAGCATATGAGTGTAACAACTTGCAAGATGGGTGCAAATTTGTTACAATAGGTTAAGAAGTGATATGGCAACTTAATTGTTTCGAGAATATTTTCTTATACATATTATTTTTAATTTTGACAATATACTAGCATGGATTTGTATAAGCATATTTAAATTTTCATTCTAAAATCTGAAATTTAATTAAACTTTACTTTGCAGAAAATATTATATTTCAGTTGAGATTGAGAAGGTGTAGAAAAAAATCCATACCTGTGGCAAATTGGATGCGCAATAATGTAATTCTTAAAGATTAAATTTAATATTATAAAGTAATATTTGTAGGATTGCTATGTGATGACACATATTGACATCGTGAAAAAAACTTACCTAGTACTCGTTAACCAAAACAACACATGCTTAGCCAAGTTGCTACTCTAAAATACTAAATTATCAAATTCTTATACTAGAATGCACCTTGTTATATTCGGGCATTCAATTGTCAATTTCTTATACTGATGTATTTGTAGAAAATTTGGAATCTGATGTTAAAAAAAAAGATGTTCTCGTAAAAGTTGAAGAACAAATTAGGTGGCAATGTCATTCCGTAACTTATCAAACAATCAACTTCAACTCCAGTTTCTGTTTGGAGAACTACCTAGCAAACCATAAGGTTAAAAAGGGGAAGGGCCAAAACGTTTACTGTTCACATACAACTTAAAAGGTTGTTATGCCAAATCCACACTGTTCCATCTCCTCGATCTGCAAGAAGTGTTGTTCCCCTAATTTCATCATAGGTTAATTGGATCCATGCTACTACAAATATACCAAATTTAAAAAATACCACTACTATTTACGATATCGACTGGGTGCCACTTAAATTTTATAAAATTAGAACCGTGCAACTCTGTCACATTTTCCATCCACTTTTCTGCCGCCCCCTTTAATTTTATCGGTTGTGTTCTAGTCGTCGTTGTCTTCGTCCTCCTCAGCCTAGGGGCTAGCAGAAGCCAACCAATGGCTGCAGCTACAGCAGCAGAAGGCAAGAATGACAGCGGCGGAGGTGAGCATCACGTGTGCCGATCGATCTGCAGAACCAAGGAGAGCTCGGTGGCGAGCAGGGGGAGAGGCCGCCGGCGCCGGAACGTCGGCGGCGATGGTGGCGGAGGCAGCACGCACGTCGAGCAGGTCGCTGATGGGTGGTCCCGAGTACCACGGCGACTCCGCTGCCGCGGCCGCCATCTCCGCGTCGTCGGTAATTAGCACATCGTCGACGATGACGACGACCTCGCCGCCATCGGCACTGTCCTCGTCGTTGTCATCCATCGGTGGCTCATTTAGGGCAATGCAGATCAGGAATCTCTCCGATTTCTACCTCCACTGCCACTCGGTGCTCGACCCGCGCACCCTCGCCGCCGCCGCCGCCACCGTCTTCTCCTGCTCCGACTGCGACGAGGTCTTCGTCAAGCCCGACTCCCTTGATTCGATTTCGATTGTAGTTTCGATCTTTCGGAGCTCGGGCAGGATGACACGAGCATGAACATCGTGGAGATCATCTTCCAGTCAAGCTGGCTGAAGAAGAACGCGGGGAAGGTGGCACTCGGCCTTCGGCGGCGTCTCTCCCTTCCCGCCTCTCCGCTTCCTTCCGCCGCTTCCAACACCACCGCTCGCCGCCGGAGTTAGCTGGCAAGGATAGAAAATTAGAAATTAACGGGGATAACGGAAAAGTGGATGAAAAACGCGACGGAGTGGCACGGTTCCAATTTTACAAAGTTTTAGTGGCATCTAGTCAATATCGCGAAAAGTAGTGGTATTTTTTTAATTTGGCATATTTGCAAGAGGGCAGCTACACAACGGGATACTGTTACAATGGGATATTTTAAGTGACTCTCCCTTTTCCTTTTCTCTGTCCACGTGTGCTCCCTGGGTACCTGATACCTGGTACCTTAGGTACCGGTTGTTACCTGGTACCTGGTACCTGGTACCTTTGGTACCGACTAGGTATCGACCGATACCTGATACCTGGTATCTTAGGTACCGGTTGGTACCTGGTACCTAGTACCTTTGGTACCGACTAGGTATCGACTGATACCTGATACCCGGTGCCAAGGTACCGGGTGGTACCTAGGTACCAGGCTGATACTTGTGGGGTATCAGAGGGTACCGTCAAAACGAGGAGGAGATGTGGGGGAGGGAGGGCCGCAACGGCGGAGGATAGCGCCGAGGAGGCACGGCGAGTTGAGGGTCGAGGCCCGAGCCAGAGAGTATGAGAAGTCTCGAGGAGGAGCTGAGGAGGAGGTTGACGGCCATACCTGTTGCAAGTCGACGCACACTGCCAGCCTTCATCCCGGAGGCGCAAAGCGGCAGGCCGCAGCGGGGACGACGGTGACGCCGAGGCCGAGGGCGAGGACGAGGGGAGCTCCCGCTTCTGCCCTCCCCGGGGCGACGACTCCCCGGCGCACATCCGACCGACGAGGGCGGTGAGCCAAAGCGGCGCAGCAAGGGAAGGCGAGCTCGAGGGCGACCCCGCTGAGGGTTGGCCGACTTCGCCGGCACAGTGCCATTGTCGTCCTCCTCGGCCGCCGGAGACGACGACGACGACCCCTTCCTCCCGGCCGGCTTCGTCTCCGCTCGGCCTTCTTCAGAGAGAGAGAGAGAGGAGGGGAGTGAGGTGAGAGTGAGATGGGGATTGCGTCGGGTGGATGAGGATGCGGGTGGTCGGATGGATAAGGTTGAAGAGCTATCCCGACACCACGGGATACCGGGGAGTAGATTTTCTCTATTTGCAGTGGCATGGATCCAATTAACCCTTTCATCTTTCATCAAACCACTTTCATCTATACACAATGGTTTCATTTCCACCCCTTTCTGATGGGCCTAGCCCAAGCCCATCTAAGGATATTCATCATACATCTTGGGCTTTTGGCCCAGCTCAGCCCAGCCTTCATGACCATACAGCTTTTTTTTCCAGCCCGGCCCGTCTAAGCTTTCTGAAAGATCACTTTGTAAACCTTCAACTCTTGGAACTCAGCTAGCTCTCCGGAGATAGGCCATCAGGCCGAGGCCGGTGACCAGGGCGGCGCCGGCGGCCACACCGCTGTATGCCGCCGCCCACGCGTCCCGGCTCGACAGGTCCATCACCGCCGTGCTGCCGCCACTGCTGCGGCCGCCGCCGCCGCCCCCGACCCCGACGCTGGGAACCACGCTCTTCCTACGGACGCCGGAGCTACCGGAGTAGTCCAGGTACAGCTTCAGGCCCTGCAATTAAAGATCCACAAGCACAGGTACAAGAATCAAAGGACGGTGATGATCGATGATCAGGATTCAGGAACATTCAGAGATCGATCAGCTGTCTAGTTCGTGCATGCCTTCCAGCCAGCGAGCCTGGCGTGGTCCACCGCCGCCGTGAGGTCGTCGTCGGACGCCAGCACCACCTTGTCACGGTCTTCGTCTTCGTACTGCAACACACGCAGCACCAGTTGTTCAGTTAACGACTTGCTTGCAGCTTTTGTTTGCATTTTCAAGCTTTTTTTTTTTCTGGGCAATGGTGGGACTGGATTGACATTGCTTACAAGGATTTGAGGGAGGTGGTCGCGGTCGAGGTCGGGGCCGAGCCGCTGGAGGATGCAGGTGATCAACGGCGTCAGGCTCTGCACCTCTGCAAGAAAATCGAAAATGTGTTTTGGTTTGTCGGATGAGCTACAGTGCAACAATACCTGCTAGCCAGAAATGAAAACACTGTACAAAAACCGGCACGGTTCGAGTACTAGTGTAGTACCACAGCTGAACCGGTGCATCCGTCCTCGCCTGTCCTGGAGCTTGAACGAGAACGACTGCTCGTTGTGGATGTCCGACATCATCTGCGACCTCGATGCCTCGCTGGCCGATTGGGAAGATGGAGAATGAGCAAGGTCACACATACTGGAAATGCCAGTGTACATTTGCGGAAACGAGAATTTCAGGATGACGACAGCAACCTTATCTGGGATTGTGATTCAATCTCATCGTCTAGGGGTCCCAAGGCCATTGCAGAGTCCCAAAACCTCTGGACCATGGAGATTGCCGCGTCATCGTTCACGGCACCATCGCCGTTGCCTTCAACCTACCCACCCACTCATTTGCAATCAGTGGAGAGACATCTCAACAAATTACAAACCTGAACATTTTTCTTCAATCATACATGGCCAATCAAGAACTTACAATGGAGAATGCTGCATGTGTGATGTCGATCACGTCTAGGATGGAGACTATGGATCCATCTGTTGCGAAACCGACAACGGCAAAACCCGCAGATCAATCATCACATCATATATATACCAAACAATTTCATTTACTAGTCTACATTTTACCTACCTCTGTCCATGACAGGGAGATGCAAGAATTTCCTCTCTTGCATGATCCGGAGAGCATCGAGTATTGGCATGTCCACTGTCGCGCATTCGGGATCCAGTGTCATCACCTAGTAAATAAAACGTATATACATATCAAATTCGTGCATAATATATGTTTTTTGAGATGTTTTATGGTTCTTGGAAGGTATTAAGAGCAAGTGATTCATCAATTATCAGTTTATCAATCCTGTCCTACCTTCTCAACCGGCGTCGAATCCGCAGGGAGATTCTTGGCAATCATCCTCATCAAGATGTCCCTTGAGCTGCACATCAACAAAAATCCGTTAATTTAATTTGCACCACACACATCAATTTTAGAGAGAACTTTGTGGATGACCAAAGCAAAGTAAGCAAGCAAGATTGTGATCAGTCACATACGTGAGGATTCCCTGAGCCTTGTTCCCGACGGCGACGACGGCCGAGCTCGCGTGCACCTCCACCATCTTCTGCGTTGCCGTCAGCACCGAATCGCCCGGCGACACGATGACGACCCTATAAATCAACCAACTGATCATCCAATGTGCAATTTGAACAAAACAAAGTAGAATTGCATAACAATAACTAAAGTGCAATATAATATCGAGATGGCGGGGAAGCACCCGTGGTGTGATGGTGAAGTCGTGGATGCAGTGCATGACTTCACTCATCAGGATTCAAATCCTGGTACCCACAAATATTACACACATACAAGACAGCAGAAGGACTTTCAATTGACCATTGGTTTCTGTGATTTTAGGGATATGCCGTTGGTTTCTGTCTCTTTAAGCGTGTGTTAGGAGGCGCATTTGCAAGGTGGTGTGAGTACAGTATTGCGTGTGTAGCTAGTGATGTATGTGGGTGTGTGCGTCTGCCGTGCATAATCTAAAAGAGAAAAATAGAATATCGAGATGGTCATCTAATGATATATATTGAAACTTATAACGGAGACATTACGTTGATTCCGCGGTGGTGATGGTAGAGAGGGACGGCCTGAGCATCTGCTCCTTGAAGGCCTCGACCATGGAGCTGGCGGTGGGGTCGTTGCCAGCGGCGGCGTCGACGGCGGAGGCGATGGCGGCGGCCTTCCCCTTGTCGGACGCCCTCTCGATCCTGGCGATGGCGTCGTAGAGGCACTTGGCGATGTCGAGCATGGCGATCACCTCGCCGTTCTCCACCACGGGGAGGTGCCTGAACTTGCCCTGCACCATCTTGTGCAGCGCCTCCACCGCCAGCGTCTCCGACGGCACGAACACCGGGTGCCGGGTCATCACCTTCCACGCCGGCGTCTCCTCGATCTTCAGCTCCCGCGCGATCACCCGCGTCGCAATGTCCTGCAGATTGATCGATTGATTGATTGATTGTTCGTATCTTTTACATACAGAGAAGGGGAAATTAAGCGTATATATTCATGTTGCCACATGTTTCGCCAGTTGGATTATTGTTTTTGCAGTATAAATTATCTATATTTATATTGTAAGTATACCATGTAATATAATATTTAAGACTATTACTACGCTGTAAGTAAATTTCATTAGTTATATTATAATTTTCATAATTCACCCTATATAATTATATGATAGAGAGAAAGTAATTACGTAAGAAAAAACGTGGCACCGTATTTTTCACAATAATGGGAAAATTTAGACAAAATTTGCTCTAGGACATTCTAGATTTGTGACATTTGTTCTAAATTTTATAAATTGCAATTTTTTTAATTCTTTTTTGCACGGTTCATGGTATCTCGATTTTTTAACCTAGTAGAGTAATTTCTCATATATTGAACGTAAATTTTGCCAAAAATAATTATGGTGCGTGACCTTGTCGGTGAGGATGCCGCAGAGGAGGGCGTTGGAGTCGGTGAGCAGCGCGGCGTCGGCCCGGCGCGCCGCCATCCGCCGGCACGCCTCCAGCACCGTCGTGCTCTCCGGCACCGTCAGCGCCTTCGACAGCCGCAGCCGCCTCACCGTCCGCTCGCCGCCGACGCCGCCGCCGCCCATCGTCCTGCGTCAAATCCATGGCGCCCCATGAGAATTAACAACGTCGCATGCATTCGCGCCGCCGATCGACTCAACCAAATTCTTCTTCGTACATTGACCGGGAGAGCCCGGGAAGCATGGAGCCAGCGCCGCCGGCTGCGGCGGTGGGGCGGCGGGGGAGGGAGCCGCTACCCATCGACATCGTCCGCCGCGGCGGCGACGACCGGCGGCCGGCCATTGCGATGGTTCGCGCGTCTCCGAGTTCGCTGGCCAATTAAATTTGCTCGTTTATCATTAATGAGTTGGATTATTTATTAATCGCAGAATTAATTAAGCTAGGAATTCGTTGCCCTGCCCAATTATAACCTGTGGTAGGGGAGAGTGATGCGTATTTGGGCCCAAGTGAACAACGCCCAAGAAGCCCACTGTCATGTGTTGGGCCTGGCCTTAATTACATCAGTTTAGGCCTCAAGTGTTTTTCAATTACATGCGCATGGCTACATATGCAACACCATACTTAAATGTACAGCCGCGAATACGTCTCCTAACACACAGTGTGTCCTTTAGAAAAAACAATAAGACAACTAATAAATTATGTATAAAGACATGTTTGTACATGGGTGTGCAATCATAAGTCTTCTGAATAGGTTTTGTTTTTCGAAGACATAATCATCCGTATCTTCTGTAGTGGTGGTGCAGTCCAAAGAAAACCATGTACTTTTGCTAGGACCCAATGTCCATTTGAAATGATTGACCATTTTTCACTATTAATTTCAATAAAACTGAACTGTTTTCCATGGAATTTTTACATCTAGAGATGATCTAGCATGCCATAGTATATGAGTTAAAAAAGAAAAAAAAAGTATCCAACTCAGCATATCCCTGTTTAACCTAGATTGTTGAGCAGGTTATTTTAGGAAAGTATCGATTTGATTATAGAGATAATTAGATATTTTAAGAAATAAACTTAACAATAGCTTAAAATAAATCGTCTAAACAATAGTATAGTAGAGAAAATTGTTTTTTTTAAAAAAAAACATATTTCAGAAAGTGTGGATCCAACAACTAATAAATTTCATTATTTCAATAATACGGTGAATAAGCTAAAAAGAACATGTGTTATGTAAATTGAAAAGCACACCAACCCATTTCTCCCTTCTTGGAATGAGTGAGCTCTCCTCCATCCTATATCCACAACACAGTAGAGTGCAGCTATCTTCCACAGATGCAAAACAGTGCACATGAGGACCAAACCCCAAACTTGCATCCAAACAACAAATAATTGGCTGGAATTATCAACTGTTCAACATCATACATATATATATTATATATATGCATATGTAGCCGTTCAAAGCCATACCTCTAGCTTGTCACCCCAAGCACACAGGGACAATGGCCAATTATACTGTTGATGCAGCCCATGCACCTAACACACATGCAGGAAGCTTCTGTATACTGTTGCACCTACTTGGTCCCCATGTATGTTAGCTGCAAAGGAATTATTTGCACAAAAATTATTTTCTCTCATGCTTTGTGTATGACTTGCATGTTTGGTGTCATGAGATGACAAGGCACATACCATATTTTAGGGAGACCAGAACACAGGTCTCAATTCCATCCAAGTGTTCTTTTTTCTATTTTGTTGTAGATGAAGAGCTTGATGCATGATTGGGCTCAGGTTTGGAGGCTAACTTTAAGATTTGATTCTTTGGAATAATTTCAGGTAGACTTTTTTTTTACATTGTCTTCGTTGCAATCATGAAAAGAGATCAGGATAATGACAGATTAGAAGCTCCTAAAAGTAACTAAAAAAATCAAATTGTGACATTTGAAATCATCAAGGCTTTTAAGCTGGAACTGAGCCAATAGCACCCGCGCACAAACCTGCATTGGTTTATCAGCAACCTTTGACAAACTATCAGACGCCGGAGAAAAACAATAAACCACCTAAAAGTTTTAATTTAGGTAGTTGCTTATAAGAGATTGCGCAGAAACAAAGTCACTGCATGTTTCACCATAATTTGAGGAAAATTGTATGGGCCCCTGCTCGATCAGGATTGTGGATGTATGCCATCACTATCTAGAGCTAGCTAGCTAGTTCGTCATTTCCATGTAGATCAATAGTCTGTCGTTGACTAGCAAGGTTATCCCTTTCATTAAACTTCATTTTGCTATTGAAATCAAACTAAAAGTGGTTCAGTTATTAATTGGTGCTTGTTTTACTACACTAAGTAAAGCTCTTGAGAATCTTCTCTTCAAAAGAATGTGTATTACCAATATGTTTGTATGTTTGAGCTGCGCATTTTGCTGTCCGCTTCATCCTGTCAACCCCACTTTGCAACTTAGATTTACATAAGGAAAGGAAATAATGTTGGTCTATTGTCAATTACAGAATTTTCTTTTTTTGAATCCGAATTCCTGTTTGTGAAATTTAGGTATTCCAACAGAATTCTGTTTTCACCGCAAAAAAGAAAAAACAGAAATCTGTTTTGATTAAGCATATTGAGACATCCTAGCCAGCTTCGTATACAATGCGTCCTATTGGCCTGGAATGTCTGCACCAATTATTAGTCCTTATTTTCGATGCGCTTAAAATTACTTCAATAGTTATTTTCATAATCTTTCAAAAATGGAAGTTAATTAATCTGGTTGAAATAGAAACCCAGGTAAACAGATCCATGGAGTAAAACATTTTATAAGGTCAAAAAAATGGAAATTAATTAATCTAGTTGAAAGGAGAAGTCCTGATAAATCTATTCATGGAGTAAAACATTTGATAAGGTCACAAAAAAAAAAAGCTACCACTTGCTTTATTCTCCTGTACAAGTTTCTTCAGTCTTTTCACACAAAAGGAACTCATTCCATCATCTTTCACTTAGGCAGCAATAGATCCAAAAACCGTATACTCCAAGTTATACTGAATTACATGTGCTAATCTTCGTTTAAAAAGAAAAAGAAGAGGTACTTGATGAGATCCAAACCAAGCTTGTGAACACATAAATATTCTTTCACCCACAAACGACCGAAAAGGGAGGACCTAATAAACTATACATAAAGTGATAGACATGATATGATGCAAATTATCTATATATGTTTAGATATGCTTAAAATAAGAATCAGTAAACTAGACGTCTCGTCGTCCCTGGTCCAAAAATTGTGGCCACCAAACATGACCCATGTGTGTTCTCTAACAAAAAGTAGCAAGCCAAACTACTTATGAAAGAGAGCATATATAATTCAACATTAATGGGATTAATTAGCAGAATATGCACAAAATGCTCATAGGATTAATGACCCATTTTGCCGTGGCTACCAGTCTGCCTGGCATGGAAGGGCAATCCCATTAATTAGTTGTCTAATACATTCCAAAAACTAACACGTACACACTCGGTGTGATCATCACGAGGAGCCTAACAAACCATGTAGGCAATTAAGTTCAGCATTGTCCTCTTGCACCATCTGACCAAATCTGCAGGCTCAGCACTGAAACAGACACTGCAACAACCATCCTCATGCAAATGCAAAATTTCTTCAGAGAGTTGAATCAAACCACCATTATACCATGAGTAGTTTCTTTTGGCCCTTCTTTCTTCTCTTTCTGAAACCTTTATTCCATGCTTTTCACCAATGAGAGGTAGAGGACAACACGTGAGGACGAGGGCAAGTAGCCACAGGGTCTTGTGTGAAGAAAAAAAAAAGGGGAAAAAAAAAAGAAGACATGGTTGTTGCTTGCATGGAATGGCAGAGGAAGAAGATGGGGTGGTGACCATATGACTGGGTTTGGAATCTGTCATCAACTGCTTTTGATTCCATCTGCTATAGCCATAGCTACAGTTGAGCACTGAGTATCACCTTCCCTTCCACATCACCTTGTTGTGATCTTCTATGGCTCAATATGATTGGGTGCTCAAGGAGTAGTTAATTGGTGGTGTGTTCAGATCAATTGGTTGATAAACCCAAAGTGGTTAGTACTGTGCTACTGTAGATCAACTGGTACGATAATTAGAATGTGTGTTTTGTTATATGTGTACTTTATATGTTCTTGTCTTTGATTAGAAAGCCTTAATTTTATTTCATATTTATAGAGAGTTCAACAAAGTAGTGATTTTTTTTTTCGATTTTGCTAAATCTTTGTCAACAGATTTTTCGTTGGAAATCACTTGATTTTCAACCCTCCAATTTATGGTGAGATTCATGCTAACAACATCCAGAAAAACTGAGGCAGCTTACCACCAAACCTTGGGGTGGTAGGATTCAATCTCACGATCGGATGCTTACCATGTACAACGCTTAGCCAATTGAGCATGGAGGAGAATTTGGCTGTATAGATAAAATAATATTTACATTGTAATATAAAACTACAGTCCTATATAACTAAAATTACATTTGTAAATTCAGTTAATATAACATATAAGTGCACTATAATTTTGATAAAAATAATCTGTAAGTAAATATGTATTTATTATTTTCTTTTGTAGTCCGTTGGATGTAAATGTAATGGTAGAAAAAATCTGATTGATTTCTAACATTCGACAAATGGATTGATTTTAGAATATCCTTAGTATTTTAACCAGCAAATATTGGACATGTGTATTGATGGATATTCTACTAAAATATTTGTAGATAATAATACAATAAATGCATTAGCCTTGTCAATATATACCTCTTAACTTTAATTTTTTTAAAAAAACTAGATGAACTAGAATAATTTACTTAAAAACTCTAGTACAAACGACTGACAATCTGAAATAGCTGACACAGATGTAGTCAACTTCTTTTAGTGGTCACACACAAGACTCATCACATAAATGATGAATTATGAAGAGTTCATATAACTCGATCGAGAGGGGAACAACTAAAGTGAAAGTCGATGCATTGTTACATCCGATTGCAAACTGACAGGACAAACAAACTACCAATATCAATCACTCAAGATAGTACCCATATTGAAGACGACAAAATAGCACGATTGATCCACCATCTTTCCACGTATGTAAGATTCATGCAACTAAAATGCCACAATCGAAACTAAAACGGCACATATACTACGTAAATTTAAACAAAAACGAATAATATCGCACATAGCAAAGCATAACAGAGTGTCCTAGTTACACGACTAATTAATCTTAGATATATATATATATATATATATATATATATATATATATATATATATATATATATGCGAGATAACATTGTACATGTGTAACCTTAATGAAAGATAGTGACGTATCCATATAAGTGTATTTTATTATATTCGATATATATATATATACATAACAAACACATGCGCGCGAGATACATATAGCACCACCGTACCCCTCTAATAAAATAAAACCAACACCATCAATCCATCAATTGCCAAGAGCAAAAACAAACCCACACCATGACCAATCAAACAAACTTCCATAGAGGATCATCCTCCCTTTGCTATCCCCACAACCCCATTTGCCCTCTCCTCTACTTATTCCCTCACTCCAAAAGGCCATATATACACCCCCTCCCCACTGCCATTGGTCCTACCACAACAAAAGGAGAGAGACTCCAAGTCTTCCAAGCTGAGTGTGTGTGTGAAAGAGAGAGACCTACTTAGTACAAGAATCACATCTGCATATCTTCCCTGCAACCGTGTGAAGAAGGATCACAACTCATTCTTCTCTTCTGTCAGTAGAGAGAGAGAGAGAGAGAGAGAGATCAAGAACTAGAGAGAGAAAGGTAGGTAGCTAGAGAGAGAGTAGGCGATCGATGGCGGATTGGGGGCCGGTGTTCATAGGGCTGGTGCTGTTCATCCTGCTGTCGCCGGGGCTGCTGTTCCAGATCCCGGGGAAGGGGAGGATCGTGGAGTTCGGCAACTTCCAGACCAGCGGCCTCTCCATCCTCGTCCACTCCATCATCTACTTCGCGCTCATCGCCATCTTCCTCCTCGCCGTCAACGTCCACATGTACCTCGGCTAGCTAGCTAGCTAGCTAGGAGGTACCATGCTGGCTCTGGCATGTGAAATGTTCATCGATCAGCTAAATTAATTACTAGCATTTATGCAAGAATGGTATTATATATATATATGATTTTCTTAATTTGGGCTAGCTAGCAATTTGATTACTACTGTTCTCTGAGTTTTAGTTTATATAATGTAAACTTACTTGAGCTTGTAGCTTAAGATGGTTAATTACTCATGATAAGTTCATATGAAAAATGTGGTTAATTATTCTGATTTGTTTTTTTTTGTTTTCTCTTTTCAATGTTTGCTTCAGGTTTCTGGAATTTGGTTATTTACCTTGGATTTAATTTTCCTTCTGCATTTCGAGGGAAATAGATGGTATATTTTGAGCTGGGGTTAACTTTTTTTCCAAGGAGGATGGGCAAATGAGAATATGTTTTTTTTTCTTTCTTTCATCTTGTATTTAATCAACATTGTACGAAACTTGCATATAGAAACTATTCCCGGTGTTGATGTTTCACCCAACCTTGAGCACAAATTAATTAAGAATTGTACTTACCATTCACTTGCACTATTTCTCAGCCCATTTGAAATGCAGTGTTCGAGCTAGCACAGTACAGTATGTACTACTACACCATGGTGTACCATCCAAATGTTCTTAAATTTTGTAATGTGGAATTAATTCTTTAATTGAGTCTAGCTGCAGGCACACACATGGATGGATTTTATAGTATATTATGCTGGGATGGCATCTACTACCAAACTCTGCAGACGAGATTAATTTGGAATTGTATCAGTGTGGAACACGTATAGAACATAAACCTAGCTAGTCTAGCTACTGCGCTAATATGCTGCACACATAAGCTTGATTAGCACCGATCAATGGCCTAGCTTTTGTTTGTTGGTTCGTAGTCACAGGTTTGAACTTTGAAGTATGAATTTTCTTTTCGTAATTAAGCAGTGTTTTGTTGCAAGAAAGTTAGCTTTGTTGGGTTTTATTTGCTTTTGGCCGTCGCTTTCTTGATGATTCACATCTTGCATGGAAAGTGCGAAATAACACCATTCACAGTATGTTCCTTAGTTCGATGTAATTGTAGTAGTACCTACTCCATGACTAAGTGCGATATCCCGCAGAAATGAGTCTAATTCTCTGTTTGAGAGAGCTTCTAGCAGCTGTAATTTCTCTTAAAGTCTTCAGCTCCCGCAAACAATGCAAGATTTTCACTCAGATTCTTAAAATATAAAATATAGAGTCTAGAGAATAAATTAAACTCAGAAACTGTGAAACCTAGTTTTCTAAAAAACTAACTATCAACCAACCGTTTCTCAGAATCTTAATCCATTATTTATAGGGCCTAATTAAACTACTAGAGTGGGATCGCCCAAGCACTAGATATATCTTCATCAAGCATGTATAGTTGTCTACTCCCTCTGTCCCTAAATATAAAGGATTTTGGTTGGATATGACAAATTATGTCATATTCAACCAAAATCCCTTATATTTAGGGACGAAGGGAGTACTATACAAATATAGCAGGGGAAGTGGCTACTATGTCCACATCTCAACGAAAAGAATGACATGGATGCCTGACTTTTAACAAAGAGAAACTTCCTTACGCCCTGTCGCCTTTCCGTCCAATTCTTCCTGTGTCCCTAGTTAAATTTTGTTCCATCTTTAAATGCTGCTTTTATACATTAATCTATGTACCAAACATATATATTTTTTGAAATGTAATATTGCCCTCGCCAGTAACTATAATTGATAAGCCTCCCCACAAAAAAAAACAATTACAGCAACAAAATAATTTTAGTTATGTCAACTTCTTTTGAAAGGAAGTAAAAATTACCCACTTTGACATATACTTAAAAAACAACTAAATTTGAACTTTTGTATAATTTGCTTAAAAATGTGGTGGTTTTCATTTAATCAAATTTGGTTTAAATTAATTCAGTCAAAAGGTGTTATTAAAAATTCCGGTGAAAAATACCATTTTCTTATATGTGATTCTGTTAATTTCAGATCCACCTATGAATTCTTCAAAATTTTTGAACTTCACTCAAATATTAAAATTTTGGTTTCACATTTGAGGAAACAAAAATTGGTTACTAGGGTAATTTTTTTCCATTTGAAATTTCGTTTGATTTGTTTAAATTTATTTGAAAATTCAGTTTTTTTTTCTTTTCAAATTTGGGTGAAACTGTTCTTTCTTGTGCTTTGGTAATTCCAGCCCTACAATTTTTCTCAAACAGAATTTCTTCTTCCCCTTTTTTCTTGAGGCTAACGGAATTTCTTCCTAGCGAGGGCTTTGATTTCGGTGAGAAGGCTAACTAATTACTTACAGTCAGGGGCGGAGCCACGTGTGGGGGCAGCTTGGGCTTGGGCCCCACACGTGGCAAAGAATTTCAATGGCAAAATACCAAAATTTAGATAGAAACTCAGTGGAAAATTTTGAAACAGCATAGCTCAGTCCTACTCTCGGTGAAATCTTGCCTCCGCCCCTGCTTATAAATTATACTTAGGCTCTGTTCTTTTGGTTAAGTTGGGAACCCATCCCTCCGGTACGAAAAACGAAACAGTCCATTAGCACATGATTAATTAATTATTTGCTAATTTTTTTTTCAAAAATGGATCAATATAATTTTTTTAAGCAACTTTTGTATATAAACTTTTTGTAAAAAACACACCGTTTAGCAGTTTGAAAAGCGTGCGCGCGGAAAATAAGATGGGGGAGTTGGGAACTACAGGAAACGAACAGAGCCTAAGTATGGTTGTTCCTAAGAAATCTAACGGCTACTCGTACAATTGGCATGTGGGGATTAATTAATACGAAAACTCATGATTATATCCTCTATAAACTCTGAGGCGTCCAGTGATTGAGAAGAGAACGTAGGGACACAAAATATTTTTTTCTCTTTCAAAAAGAGACATACTCCATAAACTAAAGAAATGAAGTTGTTGGAATGTCCATCATATCAATTCAAACCCGGATCGAGTTGCAGAGAAGCATGCCAATCTGTTCTCTGCTACTCTAATTTAATATTGGCCCTGCCACGTTTGATTTGTTGATCTCATGTCGGTGGTGAACCTCCTGCTTGCTTAATTAAACTGTTAATCTCCAATGGTTAGCATTGCTCTAGCTGAAACCAACGGCCAACTCGAGCCACCAATTCCTCTCAAGAAATGAATGTATTTTGATAGCAAGATTATTTTTGCACGCTCCATGCCCTCCGGGATTAAGAATCATTTTTATATTAATTCTTGGCTGAAAACAATATTATTTTTTGAAATAGATTACAACTGCAGACGCCAATGTGCACAATCACCCATATGAGTGCGTGTATGCATCCTATACCCTTATATATGCATGTCCAAGAATTAACTAGACCATTACATCTTAAGATTAACGAAGCTACATAAGCGCGTCTCGTTGTTGACGGGTTAGTTAGATATATAAATCACTCTATTATGAAAATCTTTTTTCAGGGATTTTGAAAGTATTTTGTACAGATATGTCAATACCATTCTGCATGATCTTCGGTATATGTTCCATCCAAGTTTTCCAGCTTAAATTGCCCTCAACAATTTCTAAACTGGGCCAGGCTTTCACTTCTGGGCCCATACTACAATTTGGGCCTTCTAGGCCTTCAATGTCAATACACCTCGCCATATGCAAGGAAGGAAAAAGTCCAATTAGACTCTCTCGGGTCTGATTCGTATCCATCAACCACAAAACCGGGTATTTCGATCCCTCTAGGACAACAGGCGGTTCTACAACACCATGAGCGGCCGGAGCACCATCATCAACCTTTCATTGACGAACCGTAAGATCGATCTATCCATCATCTCCTGCAAATCTCGCTGCAAGCAAGAACACTAATTAAATCCATTTTGTTGTATCTGATTAATCACCAGGATATATATATATATATATATATATATATATATATATATATATATATATAGACCTATTCAATATGTCATTTCCGAAACCGTACCCCCTGCTCAATCTTAGACACTGTGGCTACGTGCCTTCAAACCACTGGGGGTTCCGTCTTATGTCAGCCGACAGGACTTCTAGAGCCATAGAGAGAGTCCTTGGTCCGAGTGGATGAGGTGCTGGAAGATGAAGTGCTAGTGCTATATTTATCGGATTAGTCGGATTCTTATATGTATGGCTGGGACTGTGGTGACGAACCTTACTCTCCTCGGTCAAGTGGTTGACCCGTCTGTCCAATAAGTTGACTAAGTGAATGGTAATCCTATAGTTTGACCAGCCTGGGAAGAGTAGTCAGAGGCAATTCGCTAATATGGAGCTGTTTATATCGGCTTTCTTTCCTAACTAACAGGAAAAAAGAGACATGCTATATATATATATATATATATATATATATATATATATATATATATATATATATATATATATATATATATATGGCGAGTGATCAACGCAGTGTAGGGAGATTGTCGTACAAGGGGTCGGGAAGAAGGCTCAACTACAATGGGTGGGTTCTAGGAGGTGGTTCTGGCCCAAATCCACTATATAGACATGACCTATTAGACTATTTATGTTGTACTTTTTAATTCTTAAACTAAAAAGAAAAGGTAGTTTTAGTGAATTATTTAAGAAAATTTTGCATATGTATATTGAGTTTTCGGCGTTTTGAAATTTTGAAGTGTGGAGTAGGTTTCTGGAGCCGCCAACTAAGTTGACCCGAGCTTTGCACTGCAACTGCATTAGGTGTTACCACAAAGATCCATAAGACTAACGAACCCGTCAGCGGCGCTAAATCGAGGGCCCTGTTGGGGTCCTTATTGCTGTAGAGAAGAGGAGCGAGAGGAAAAAGGATAGATAGGAGGAAGAGTGAGGATGACATATGGGCCCCATACGACTGACATGCAGGCTCTGTAGAATATCCCCATCTTCCTAGATTTCTAAGCGTTTTTTTATCGTGGTTAACATATTACATATTACATATCACATCAGCCAATACCATCATCAATATTACTCTAGAAATCATTTTTCTACCAGTTTTAACAATTAGGGAAGTTATTATCATACCCGGTTTTGCACTTCAGGGATAAGAATCAGATTCAACCTATATTGAGGGACTCAATGTGGACTTTTTCCTGCAAGGAGTTCCTACATGCAATTGCAATGCAAAATAGGCCACCCACAACCCGGCCCATTGATAACAATGTCGCCTGGTGTCCAAGATGAGGGACAGAGGCCTCTTTCTCCGATGACTCGACCAAAACAATCACAGATATGCTAAACAATGCATACATATGTACACCTCAAGAACAATAATCACAGATATGTAGAAGAATACTGACGTGGCACAATTAGTTGATAAATAATCTGCACAACCACCACCACCACCACCACCATCAACCAGAGGACCTGAGCTGTTATTTATCTACAATTTTCACCAGCCTGAATTCTGCAGGCTCACACAATCAAAAAAAAAGCCTCAGTCATTTTCACCAGCAACTCTGCAGGAACAGCAAAATCACAGCCTCTGCTCTACACCTGCCAAGAGAATGGCATTGCTTGGGAAGGATCTTCATATGTGACAGCAGGAACCAAGACATGGTCACCGGCAACTGATCCTCCATCTGATGCGAATGCGGTGGTTACGGCTTGCGACGAGGCGGCGATTCTGCTGAAAGAAGAGGGGGCGAACTGCGGTGGAGCTGTTGCGCTGGAGATGCCGGCAGCGGGGGAGGGATGCAGCGACGATGACAGAAGAGAGAGAGCACACTCCGGGTCCAGCCCGTGGGGGACGCCGTTGCATGCGCTGCGGGTTGTGGTAATGTTGGCTCCATCTTCTGGGGAAGAGAAGGGCCGCAGGAGATCGTGGCGCGCTGCGCCGAGGCCGCTCCCGCCATCTTGCATAAAGGGGAACTGCTTCGGTTCCCGGAAGGTCCCTGAGAATGAGATGGAGAAGGGAGGGTGACGATCAAGCGGACGCATTAAGGCGTCGGCGTTCTGATCAGCTATCGGAAATGTTTGCGGGTAGACTGAAAACTGATTCGCTGCAAAGACAAAATAGTTTTAGTCAAGAGAATATATTGGATACATTTCTTGTGCAAGCAATTCAAGAAAAAGTTGATAGCTCTAGTGAATGAACATGAGAAAAATCTTAGTTTAATAGAGGTCCATCGAAATCTACTCATCTTGACTTAGTATTATTGTGCTATGGTTTACTAGAAATTTTCTAATAAGCTAATGGGGAAAGACTGAGCATGATTGGGTTCCATTTGACATCGATTATTTTCAGCTTCTAACAACCTAACAAGCATATCGAAGCAATGTTCAATTCTTCAAGCACAGTAAGCATGCCTTTTTCTGCCAGACCTAAAAGATACATAATATGTACATTATTTCCTGTGACAATATAAGTAGGTAAAGATGTAGTTTGTTATAACTGCAGACAGAGAATGAACAGCTAACCAATTCTACATACAGTAACGGTAATACAGTATCGAAATGTAATCAAGAAACAGCCAGGAAAAGGATCACTACAATTTTTCAACATATATAACTCAGTAGTTGCAATGTACAAACCTTGATGATACGGAAGGAAACTCCTAGGGTTCAATGCATCATGCTGTGGCTTTCTTCGACGCCTGTTATGACCATCCAGCCGTTTCCGGCAACTTTTTTTCCCATCGTCAAACTCAGCCAGATTGTGAAATCTGCAAATACAGAGTTATGTTGTATTGTTGTTACATGGCCCTCAACATATTCAGAACATGTACACTGAACCTGTACTGCAGATTCAAATTCACACTAACAGTTGTATTTGCATAGTTCTCATACGCCATGTAGGATTCACAGAAGAAAATTTAGCCAAGTAGTAGTCATAACAGAAATGGATTATTTTAACTGACTGTCCCTTAATCACTATGCTTATAGTGCACTGCTGATTAGCAGCATAGACTTCGTGGTCAATTCTAAAGTTAAAAGTAGAAAATATAAAACTGACTACTTATAGTTCTGCAATTCGATTGGGATTGTCCTCTAGTCCATGATGTATAAACCAGTGGTAGGTAATATAAATTCAGTTATACTAGGAGTTAATCTTAGCTTTAGAATGCACACCAGATATCAAGTGTAATTTGTTTCAAAAAGCTACTAAGTGTAATTTCATATATAAAGCCAACATCAGAAAGATGAACAAAATAATACAAAGCCAATATCAGAGAGATGGACAAAATAAAGACACGGACCATGAGATTTTGTGTTCAAGAAAATTATGATAAGCATGGAAGCAAATAGTTTCACTTTCTTCTTTGCTCTGAGCTATGCTTGAAATTCTCAGGCAATTATTGCCAAATTTTGAAATACATGTTCACTCTAGTGTTGATATTACGGCATTTACAATATTTATCTTTGTAAATGTCACATTGTGTGCTCTCATGGAATGTAGTAGAAATTGTACCGGCCCAGATGTCTTTGTGGTTCTATCTGATCGCAATAATTAGTTCCTAATATTGATTGATAACAAAGATTGAATTTGCAAGGTTAATCACCATGTAATGTGAAATTTAAAAATATATCGAACAGATCCATGTAATTTAGCTGGAAACCACTTTATCCTGTGGCTATTCTCGTTTATTGTTCTCCCGTTGATAAATGGAGACTACAATGCCTGGTAGCACCTTCTGTTGGGATGCTCCAACATCAACTTTTTTAATGAGGGGGTTGGAAGATGGAATCTGAATCCAAATAAACCGTTTTCAGTTCATTTTATATATCTGGTTTTTAATAAATTCTGCTGACAACTTTTTCATACAAGATCATTCGAAATGGTGAATTGCCACTGAAAATTAAGAATATTTTATTAGAGGGATCATTCTCACTAAGGACAAGTATGGCTCATGTGTTTGGTACAGGGGCAGCTGCCTCATCGTACACAAGATAATGTTCTATGCGTATAACTGAAAAAACATGTGGTCTGTTTTCCAGAAAAAGAACGAGTGAACTAGTCAAGTAGATATATCAGGGAGGAAAGGATGGAGGGTTGCATCTGAGAGCATGAGGCTAGAGCAATGTAGCAGGAAAGTCTACAAATTGCTAGCTGCTGAAGTCTTTTTTACCAGTTGATATAGTTTATTCTGTTAGGCTGTGGTGATGTCTTTGTCTCTTTGAAACTTGTGTGGTTATAATTAGTATCTCTGGTTATATTTACATGTCAATATGGGAGACAGAAATGTTGCTTTATCTTCACTCTAAGCAATGCATCTGTATTTGATGCCATTTCCTGAACTAACAGAAGAATAAATTATCTATAATTGTTTGCCTGTCATATTGGTAAGAAAAAGGGCATGACTATGCTGCCCAAAAATACAGATGCAAGTACCTTTGAAGACCGTTACAAAAGGTCATGCCAAATAACTACAGCAAGTTAGGAACTCTCAGGGTTTACCTGATTTCAAATTTAGTTTCAGTGAATGGGAAGAGCCTCATATGTTGTTGTGTTGTAGGTTACAAAGTGGTATCAGATTTTTTTTAAAAAAAAATGTATTCTTGAAGTGGCATATCCTCAAAGTCAATCTTTAGAGTGGCATTTCTTTAAATGCCACATTAAAATTAGATTGGTGATCTTGTACTTAACTGGGACAACATATATCAAACTATTGGCTCTCATGTGTGCTCTGCACAGCAACCACAGTTTCCTAGCTACTCAAGGTCAAGTTGGGCATTGGGTAGCGTTATTGATGAATGTCATGCTGTCAAGTATATTGTTGTAGCCCAGAAAAACCTTGGCTGATTCGCGTGCACCAGAGGGGCAGAGGGTGCTCATGGCTGCTGCATCTCAGCATGACACGCTTACACGGGCTGGTTGGATTCACATGCATTAAATTGTATATATGCAGATCTGCTTGGCTACTGCCAATTAGTGTATCAAACTTACATGTTTATGCATGAAATTGGCAATCTAAACGTGTCAATTGTGAATCCATGTATTCATATTAAGCCAAGCACAAACGCACATATGGGATCCAAGAGGAAAGAATAAGAAAAACAATCGTCTAGAAGATAAAAGGAAAGATCATGCAAGCTAAAAAATATGGAGTTCAGAACTGCTTTTCAGGATGCTAATGTCATGCCTAGGACTGGCAGCCCAGGATATCCAAGGAAAATTCTGCCTTAGTTTATGTCTCTCCAAGACATGGTGTGGGCTCAGGTCGACAAACAGTCCTAGACTCCTAGTTAGATGGAACACACCTTCAATTATCTACCAAGTCCATTTGCTTACTTGGTTGTTTATCTTTTATATTACTAGCTTAACTATGTCGCTCTGATTAATAGAAGATGAGTATTTGTGTCAAGTCCAAGTCAAGTAGAGCCTTCAGCCAAGTCCTATCAGTGTTAACCCAACATGTGATCTGAGTTTTCAGTATGAATTAAGCCACCATACTGTGTGTTGACCATTGACCATTAGGGACTTAGGGTAGACTCATGTTATCGACTTTGAAAGTTCTTGTTAAAAGCTTTGCATCTGTTCAGCAAAATTCTGTATGTCTGTTCTTGACAGCAAGATCAAGTTTTCTGTGTTCTTGGTTCCAATTCCTTGTTCTATGCTCCCTTCTACTCTGAGATACCATGCCCCCAAACACAGCACGATTTCTTATCGAGGTTTCGTCGTCCTATATGCCCCCCATTCCCAACCCCCCCCCCCCCCCTCAATAAAAAAAAAAAAACTAAATGAGAGAAAAGACAGGGGTACCATTAGTTGGAGTACAAGGTAATATGAAATTTATCATTGCAATTCTTATGTAAATCTAACCTTTTCATGTCTTCGCACATTATAACAATTGTTGCCTATATAAATGCACGTAAGAGTAAGAGCTCACCAAACCCAAAGAAATAAAGGTACCTTTTTTTGAGTCTGGTCCGTGTGGGAGCTGAATCAAATAACGACAACTAGAAAAAAGAAATTCCTTGGCATCAAACACATTATATTTATTTGAAGAAAGAGTCATAATCATTTATAAAGAGAAAAATTCACAAAACTACAAATACAATGTCAAAATTATCACAACGTTGTATTGCAAAACTGTAGACTTAGAATTGAATTTATAAAAAAAAACCTACAGAATTAAACCACAATATTGCTAAAGTATACCCTTTTCAAAAAAAATTTTTTTTGACAAACTACAGATTTAGAACTGATTTCATTACAAAGTTGCAGATTTAAAAGTTCCATCAAAGATAACCATCCTAAGGTGGAACTCTCAAATGTACTTTTTGTGGTAAATTATGTGCTAGATTGGCATATATATTTGACATTAAAATGTATAGTTTTCTGATATTGTGGCTTAAATCTATAGTTTGATGATAGTTTGCAGAAGTATATGTAGTTTTGTGAAACTTACTCTTCTACACATGTGCTACAAAGCTATATTTAGCTGTCTGCCATACAAATACCCTTATATTAAAAGTAGAGTTCCTTTGTTTTTTGGGTAATGCGTATCATATGAATATAATGTTATTATCGATATATGCTAGTATTCACCATTTGTTAGGTCCATAAAATAAACATTGTAGACCAATCTCTTTTTCCTATTTACGAGAGAAACTATAGGGTGCCTTTTAGATTATCATGAGGATTCCAGATCAGAAAGCAAAGGCGGATGACGATGGTGTTTTGATTTATTTTATGATCTACTAGTTAAGCACATGTGGATTTGTGAAAAAGAAAAGTATAAATTTGATGGTAGAGAGAGTAGTAGCAGTAAACCAAACTCTTCCCTAACAATGATTAAACACGCTTCATTACCAATGTAACTTGAGATGTTGAGTTGTTCATACTTTGGTAGAGATTATACCATACCCTCAAACAGAGGGGACATTTACTTCCATCCTGCTTCTGCAAAATTGCTGCAACATGGTGTGATGAGGAGAGAGTAGTGACAATCAGGAGGTTGGATCTTGAGAAATCTAAAAGGTATTTATAACATTAGCGTGAGCAAATGACACAACCATAAGCTCAAGAGGAAGCTTCAAAGGGTTGTCAAGACACACAACAAGGACCATTGAATGGGCTCTCGATGGAGATGGTAATATATGAGGAGGAACTTCACCTCCTAGTTAGTCTGCTCCTCCATTTCTCTTTTTGTTCTTTGGGCCATCACATTAGTCTACTTACCTGAACTTTTGCCATGTTCTAATCTTCTATATCATAGTACGCAAGTGATAGTAGTCTTTAAGAACAAATTACAGGAGCTTTCATAGTGAACTGTTTGCAAGTTCTCATGTGCACGATCCTTTGTCTCAACATTGGACGCTCCTTTTTTCTAATTCCATATTGACAAGCAGGCCAGGAAGGTTAAAATAAAGTGGAAACAAGCACCTTACTCATATGGAAATTGAAGTAAACATTTTTATAGTTGATTTCAAAAGGTAACAAGACTCATTTGCTCATAGTATAGTTGATAACCTTTTTATCCTTGATTTCAAATGGTAAGATTCAAAGTTTGGTTTGAAATCTTGAAAGGAGTTTTCAGCTTTTCACAAGAATTCGAGTTTTTGCAGCTCCAGAAAAACATCCAAAAAAAACGTAGCTTAAGGCAGCAAGTAATCGAAGCAACCGATGAGTGGTCAGTTAGTTGATAATTGTCATTGGCTAGTCAACTAGGAGGTAGCATGGCAACTTGACTAGACTAGTTACCGGCTTAATGCCCTTTTTCTAAATGCCCATGGTGGGGCGATAAATTGGTCATAGTGTCATTAAAATCAAATGATTTGGGTATACCAAGAAGAACAATACAAATGTAGGTGCAATGATTTTTAAAAACAAAATACAGAGGACAGATGTGCTATCTTCTTAAAGCTCTGATGGTCGTGCTAACAGAAACCACAGTAAGCAAAGACAACATGCTGATGGTTTTAACAGAAGGAAATGGACAAGTACGGCATCTTCTTATAGTTGGGAGGATGGAATTGCATATAAGATTAGTTTGATTACATCTCTAGATTGTCTAAGATTAATACTTTATTCTAATGCAAGGTCACCTTCATAGACATGATAAATTTCTGCTAACTCAAATACAGATAAGGTGTGGTTATGCACAAAGGTTGAGCACAACAGATCACTGAGGTAAATAATTCTTTTTTCTTACTGATGAGTCTGACAATATGCCAGTAAAAAGAGGATGACAACAATTATCAGATTTTCCATTGGGTTACTATGAGGTCTCTGCAGTTTGTACTGTGCCATCCATTGCTCCAATTCGGTGTTATCTTACTAACCAGTGTCATACAGGAATGAATAATTAGGAGATCAAGGTTATGGCATGATTTCTTCCTTCCTAATGTGTCATTGAAGGATGCTTTGATCAATCAGCATGACTTATCTATTCTAGACTACAAGGGATATAACGACACTTCAAATATGACAGGAGAATTTGTAAACAGGATTACTCAACTAGAGTTATCTCCTGGCGTCTTCAGTAACTGTAGACCAACAAGATTGAACCAGAGAAACAAAGACATAAATATTGTAGATGCATGCCAGAAATTTGATTTAACAAACAAGATGTTTCTTAGTTATACCCAGAAAATAAACAAGATGACTCAACTGTGGTGATTCTCTCAGTAACTATACTGTCAAGCACAGATCATAGAACACCCAAAATACAGCCAGCTAGAACAGATATATTCTGGTATCATACATGAGAATGCAATATGTACACAGCCTAATTGGATGAGACATGTAAGAGGTAAAATAAACCCATAAAGTAATGATCATTTGTAGGTTCCAGGAATTGAACAAGATGAGTGGAAAACCAATTTTGCAGTATAAGTAAAAATGATTATAATTGTTGTCCTCAACCAACTATATACACAATGATAATGTATTTTGCATTCTCTTGAGGTTTGGTAATGATGGAAGAAGGATGAGGGGATCGCAACATGGAATGGAAATGACAATTGGATCTTTATTATCTCAAAATTGAGTTTGTTAGCCTGTTTCCCCAAGCTTTGAACCTGATCAAGCTCTTGGAATTAGCACATCCCACCAATTGGAAAATAGAATTGTTGTGTGGGAGATGAGATGGTAATATCTAGGAAAGTCCGAATAGAATAGAGGACCTATTTGGCTTGAGCAACAATCCTATTCAGCACAATCAAAACCTTACTGCGCTTATTTTTACAATGAGATGAATCTTGAGTTAGAAGAGTATTGTCATATTCTGAATTCTGATATAAAATATCACAAGATCTCTTTTGATACAGAAGTGGAGTTATCATTCTATGTCATTGCTTAATTTAGTAGTTGAGAAATTATATGGCCTAAGAAGATAATAATCACTGTTTATTCACACAAGAGTCTAGTTTGAAAAACTGTTAAAGAATTATTATCTGAGAACAAAGCGGAAATCATCAGTGCATATTAAACTGGATGTCTGAACCTCTCCAACTCAGTTATGATGCAGTCAAATGGTTAACAGTTCAGTCAAGATTTCACTAAATGATACTACGTTTTACTTTCTCGTACCACTTTCAGTCAGATACACGCCTGTAATAGAACTCCAAATATTTTTAGAAACCATATAATCCACCCAAAAATATGTTCAGCTATTTGTTTTCTCCTACTGTCATGAAACTCCAGAATAGTTTACTACGCTAAACACAGCAAAGAAACTGAGAATCAGGGAGGAGAGAGTATAACACAACCAAAGGTAACAGCTTTCGGTTTTGCATGCCCACGCTCTAGCGAGTAACCCATGAAATAACCCGAACGCTAACGGGAGTACCCACTGAACAACACTACTATACAATACTAGACCTTAACTAGTTTCATCCAGATCTTGTGAACTGAAACTGCTTCCTGTTCAGTCTCACTGAAACACAACCCAGTTTGAAGAACCAAAACTTAATTTGCATGGTCTCTAAGCATGAAGCCAATTTCAACACCCGCTCCACCCCGTCAATCATAAGAAAGATTCGGCGATGAGTTGCGGAATAATACAGGAAGAAAACAAAAAACCCTACACAAGCAAGCAAAGCATGTCATCTGCCCACACCAACAGCCTTCTTAAAATAGTATCCCGGTGAGATTAAATTATCCGCGACATCAGAGCCCTAAAGGCCACCAAATTACCAACCCAATTGTTTAATCCTCGACAAATAGCATAGGTGAGATTAAATAATCCCGGGAGCCATCAGATCCTAACTGGTAACAAATTACCAACTCAATTGTTTAGACAGCTAGGCCTTGGGGACCCAAGCAGACCACCTAAATTTCTTTTTTCCCTTTCTCCCCCCCAAAATCGTCAGAGAATGCACCACCAAAGTAAGCACCAAATCCCCATAGCTACAGTTCCCCGATGAGGAACCAAATTGGGGGCAGCAAATAAAGCAGGTGAAAAACTATTAACAAATGACCCTCATCGATCGAGAGCACATCATCGATCGTTTCTTGATTAATGGATCACATAAAGTGGATGGATTTAGAGGATTTGGGGGTGTGATTACCGGCTGCATTGCTGGCAGAAGCGCTGCTCCTGGCCGGCGACGACGACCACCGGCGTCTTGGCGTGGGCCTCGCAGACCTTGTGGCGGCGGTGGTAGTCGCGGCACCGGCTGAGGTCCGACCGGCACCCGTCGACCGAGCACGCCTCCGCGCCGCCGCCGCCGCCGCCGCCGCCGCCCGACCCTCCGCGCGCCCTCCTCGTCGCCGGCGCCGCCGCCGCCGGCCTGGCGCGGACGGAGAAGTCGTGCAGCGCCGCCGCCGCCGCCGCCGCCGCCGCCGCGGCGGCGTCGGGGGAAGACGACGACGACGACGGCCCGGCGAAGGACAGCATGGTCGGGCCGGCGTCGTCCGCCGCCGCCGCCGCCGCCACCGCCATGCCCCACGAAGCCGCCTTCGTCGCCGCCGCCGCCCACTCCATCCCTACCGCGCCGCGAGCTCCTCCTCCGCGCTGCTCGCCACCAAGCCAAGAAACCCATCAGCGAGAAATCCCTCCACGAAATTCCGCAAGAAATCAAAGTAAAAAAAAAAACAAAGAAATCAAGAAAATCGAAGCCACGAAGCTAACTGAAATACATCAACAACAACAGCAACAAACACTCTCATCCTCCTCCAACGCAAGCTAGCACTAGCAAGCAAAGCCAGCTCCAACCAAGCAACCAAAGTAACCAAAAGAAGCTCAAAGAGGAGGCAATAGCACATACGATTGGAGGAGAAGAAGAAGGAGACGAGGAACAGCGGCAGCACACAGTGGCGAGCAGGGTCGTGCAACAGTGGATGCAGCTGCGTGCGCGCGCGCGTGTGGCAATCGATCGGGCTCTGCGTGTCCGAGCTCGGGAGAGGTGGTGGGGGAGTATATATGGGCGAAAAGGATGGATTTCGATCGAGGAGAGTGAGTTGGAGTTGGAGGAGGAAGAAGAAGGGATTAATGAGTGTGAGGGAGTGATTTGGAGGGCTAATCTCTGATTTGACCTATCACTGTTCGTTTCTTAATTAACCCTCCCTTACCTTTGAAGGGGAAACATTTGTTAATCTGGTCGGCTTTGGGGTTTTGCAGACTAGTCCTCCAGTAATTTTGGATTTTGATAGCGGTGGATGTAGTATCTTTTTTTTTTTGGGAGGTAAAAGTGCAAGCCGAAAGTGAGATAAAGGGCATTTTTTTTTAGCTTCTAAACCAGAAGCTCCCTAAACAATCCGGTTTTTTATCTAGATTCTGAGAAGCTATATTTTTAGATTTCATAAAATAAATTAGAAACCAGAAGTTGTGCTTATCAGAATCTTAATGAGTTCGGGAGGAGTTGGGTCCGCGCATGTAAAATGATGTAGCTCATTAATGCACAATTAATAAGTAAATTAGTTACAACTTTAAATGGATTGATTTTTTTTTTTTGAAATATCTTGACTATAGAAACTTTTCTGAAAAAACCCAACGTTTAACGGTTCGGAAAACATACACGTGCTGTTAAACATACACGTAAAAAGAGGGAGTAGAAGTTATAAAAAGGGAGAAAAGAATACACCCTTTAGCATGGCTCCAGACTAGATACACACTAGATTTGTACTGTGTAATTTGAATCAAAATGATTTAATATTCTATTATTCATCTTAAATAAGAAATAAAATGATTATATAAATGTTATCAATGTTATTACGTTTCAGACCGTGGATTTCTAGAGCTAGAAATACTTAGCTAACAAAAATAGATCTAAAGTTCTACCAAACAAGACCAAAGTTTGATAATGTTATGAATTTTGTTTGAAAATCAACATTAACCGTGCGGTTTGGAAGAGCTTCGAATTTTTTGTGACAAAGTCCACGAAATTGTTAACCATTATGTCCACAACATGAAAACAAATTAAATTGGAACGAAGAGGAAATCTGTTTAACCCTCATAAAAAAATTGTATGGATTGATTCCACATCACAATAGATATAGAATTAATCTCATCTAAATCCCAATTAATGCCCTGAAGGATTAAAGGAACAATGCCTGAAGGCTGAAGGTACTGGTTTAATCTTGGTAGACGTGGGAAAATAATTTAATTGGTAGCATAAAAATAAATCTAATAGGTTCAACACTACAAAGTTTTCTTTTCTTCATGTGCATTCATGATTGTTGGATCCAGATATCAAATTATGATGTTAGGGAGAAAGTGTGATAATGTGGTCCTCTCTAGTGTACTGCACCAGACTTTTACTGGAGTGAAGATTTGAAAAGGCAACAAAATGTTATTTAAGATTTTTTTTTTGTTTCATTGGATAGATTAGGCATTGTCGTCCTTTCAGACGGACATACGGTTAATTAAATTAAATTATCCTCCCATCTATTTGGATCAGTTCCCGTACATATATCCATAAAAATAAGCTCAGGACCACTATTTTTGAAATACTTGTGGACGATGATGCATGATTACAATTTGCAAACAAGGTTAAAAAAAACGTACATTTCTTTTCTTGACAGGAATATGCAAGACAGAGGATACAACTTAAAAATGAGGCACAAGGATTCTTACACCAATTTTTTACTTCCTCCTATTCCAATTTCCAAATACAAGGTCTCGTTTTTCATAGGAATCAAGGAACTGGTTGAAATTTGACATAGGAATAGATACTCTGTTATTTTACACGAGGATGTTAAAATTTCCTAATCAACGAGGTCATATGTAAAAGCAAACATTAAGTCAGACAAGTGATCCCCGCAACAAAAAAAAAAGTCAGACAAGTGCATCAAAATTATATATTGACCTGTATTTCCGAAGACTCGTATTTAAAATATTGACCTACTTGTGAATTACGCACTCCTTTCAAAAACGAGATAATACAATCAATTGACAAGCGCCCAAATCTAAGAAACATCATCGACAAGTGTGAGTTCCAAGAAGTGCCATAGTTCAAACGACTTTGTCCAAAAATGACATCTTCGTTAGGGTTCCGTCCATCCCGCGCCATTAAAGTGTTATAGGATGAACAATGTATTTAATAGCGTGGAATGGACGGAACCCTGACGGTGATGGCATTTTTGGGACAAAATCGTTTGTATGATGGTATTTTTTTTAGAACTCACACTTATCAATAGCATTTCTTGAATATTTGGACGCTTATTAATGACATTTCTTCGATTATCTCTTCAGAAATATAAGGCACATGTTAACTATCCAATTTTGAGTTTTGACTTAACTGTTCATCCAATAATTTTTAGGTTTTGTCTAAAAATGATATGGTTAGAATAAAGTTCGAAAATATTTTCTTATTACCACGAATCTGTTACTATAAGCGAAATATTGTTAGAAAATTTTACAGTCAAAGTTTGTTTTAACAAACAAAGAATACCTATTATATTGGAATTAATTCCTATTATACAAAAGGGTCCATATAGACTGAGAAAAAAGGGCTTCATTTCGATTCTCCAATTTGGATATACTATTTTAATAAAGGGTAATCTAAAACTCTAGTATGGCTAGTACTTTTGAATTGATCATCGACTGAAGTATTTAGACCACAATGTCCAAATCATCGTAAACGCCATTTACCTTGGGAAGCTACTAGACATGGTACCTAATTGGGGAAAATTTAACACTCTTGGCCAATTAAGCTTGAGGTGTCATATATAATATCATGTACGGCGGAATCTACCATTAATCTCGAACAAAATTAAAGCCACCACAGGTTACCATGTCACGTTGTCAGTACTGCGATAGAAATTTTGGCAAAGACGATGTTTTATTCCACTAGCAATATTCCCTCTGTTTCATAGTTTTAACTACTTTTGTAGTTGCACATAAAGTACAGTACTTTTTATCGATTGAAAAAAGAAACCAATGCAATTTTTCAGTCCCAACTCCCAAGTGGCCAACCCTGGCTTAAAGAGCTCTTGAATGAAGTGAAATCAGTAAATCCTCCTGTACAAATTCTACTACACCATCCATCCTAAAATATAGTAAAAAATTTTGATTGGATGGGGCACAACCTAATACTGCCTAGATTCGTAGTATTAGGATGTGTCCCATCCAACTAAAATCTCTTATATTTTGAGATTGAGGAAGTAGATACTTGTATGTGAGGAGTAATTAAATAAAACAACAAATTTATCTTCCTTGTCATTCATTTATACTCAGATCAGATAAGATGAGTAATTAATTTATTTATGATAGTAGTAGAATTATATAGCAATGTAAAATGTCCAGAAAAAGGTCTTGGATTAAGTTGTATTAAAATGAGAAGTGTCGATAAAGTTACAATAATAGACTTATATTTTATACCAGAGGGGATATTGCTATGGCACCATCAAAAATCCACATAGGTTGGTTTTCATAAAATGGATTAGTCTGATGCATAAGAAAAAAAAATTATAAGTAGGAGGGAAAATTTAGAGAAATCAGACACGCATAGACAAAGATATTATGCATGCCACTGGTTTTTTCCATCATGCACTCTACTCCCTCCGTTTCGAAATGTTTGACACCGTTGATTTTTTAACATATGTTTGACCGTTCGTTTTATTCAAAAAATTTTGTGAGATATATAAAATTATATGCCTACATAGAAATATATTTAACAATGAATCAAATGGTAGGAAAAAAATTAATAATTACTTAAATTTCTTGAATAAGACGAACGGTCAAACATGTGATAAAAAGTCAACGGCGTCAAACATTTCGAAACGGAGGGAGTATGTCACTATTTATTGTACCCCTCCCTCTATATCGATGGGACTTCTAATTGGTATCATCAAATGAATGCAACTCATCTCAAATGTGACCCTCAATGGTATGGTGGGGTAATTCTTTAAATTTTCACATTTGTTGTTTAAAAAAATATTCATATGAATGAATGGTTAAATTTCATCTATATATACTAGCACCCCTATCACTAGTATGATGCACCCTGGAGGAACTCCTACAGAAACCACACCTACAAAATTTATACATTAATTGCAGGTGTTAGATTAAATCTGAACAATCGTTTCACGCATACTCTCTCTACCCTATACTAGCTAGTTATATGTCAGGGGCGTTGCAACGGATCCGGAGAGAAATATGATTTGGTTTTTTATATATCGGTTTTCAATATGGGTTGATTTTTTGGAGCGTTTTTTTAAAAAAAGATGGGGGAGGGGGGTTGGTTCGAGCTGTGTTCGTTGTGGGAGGTTTGGAGCAAATATCCTAAGCACGGAAAACAGAGTGGTCCATTAGCACGTGATTAATTAAATATTTGCTATTTTATTCAAAAATAGATCAATATGATTTTTTAAGCAACTTTCGTATATAAATTTTTTGTAAAAAAATGCACTGTTTAGCAGTTTGAAAACGTGCGCGGAAAACGAGGGAGAGGGTTGGGAGCTGGGTGGAACGAACGGCAGCCTTAGAGCAAGTTTAATAGTATAGCCTACTGCTAACTCCAAACCATCTATAGCCAATGTAATAGCTAATTCATACAATAGTTGCTTACTATACTATTAATATCTGGTCCCACCTGTCATACACACATTACGTTTTGGAGTCCGTACTGCTACTCTTCTCTCTCTTTCTTTATCTCTTTAAAATATGGTTATAGCTGGTTTATAGCCTGCTATTATACCTGCTCTTATAGGAGAACGGATCGGATGTACTTTTGAAGTAGTTAATATACCAGTACGCCATGTTTCACACTACCTATTGGGATTGCTCTTATTTGATCACGGACTATATATCAGCATGTTATCTACCAGAGACTTGCGTGCAACTTGTATGGCCATTTTCTTTTTTATTTGTTTTGGTGGGGAACATGCTTAGCAATTTGATGTTAAGTTTTTTCTTAAATCTGGTGTCTTTTTGTTCCTGGACAAGTATTGTGGAACCGATGGGATGGAGGGCACTTGCTGGGTCCAACCACTTGTGTGTTAACTTTTCTGAAACAATCACACCTCTGAATTGTCCACCTAAGATTGAGTTTGAGCTAATCTCTACTGCACCACTATTTTAGAACAGGAAGTACATTTGCCACC